CCCACTCGGTGCCTTCCAACCTTTTTGTGGCATTGCAAACTACAAAAGTCGCCAGGCTGTAATTCGCCTCTCGCAAATATTCGTAGGACACTGCATCTACAACATCAGAAACCGACTCCAACACGTCTAGAATTTCGAACTGAAAACCAGTGTAGCTATCCTTTTCTCTCAAGACTGTGATGAGAAAAGGCTGCTGCATTGTCAGTTGTTTGTTCTGTTGATTCCAAATCGATGCCTGAAAACTCCATGTTTGCCGATGCGTGACTACCATCGACAAGCACCGCTTTTGAATAGCAGGTTGGCTCTTGAAGTAATTCCACTCTGCTGTGTGCCACCTGGAGAACTCTTCCGATGATAATATCACAGGACAATTTTTAGGCATGCTATCAATGACTTGGAAGAGCTCTGCCATCTTTGTAGAATTTGCATACTTCGGGTTAAACGATCCGCCAAACTGTTTGCTGATTGTGCTTGCAATGTGGGCAGCTTCTTTCCTACTATTGTTTGCGGCCACAAATATGCCATGCTCTTTCTGAAGCCATTTCGCGTGCATCCACAAGAAGCGTTGAAATGAGGTAGTGCCGGTCTTGTGCGGACCCACATGGACCACCAGCGGGAACTTGCACCTTGGCACTCTGAGTTTTTTTTCTCCACCTCTCAAAGACTCACAAACAAAACCCGTTCGGCTCAGCATGATCACAGTTGTGACAAGCATAGTTGTAGTTGCAGCGGCTGCAGCGAGACACGTCCACACCCTGGCACTGCCACTGCGAGCCATAGCAACACTCAGAAAACGGAAATGTCACCATCCATATCGGCGGTTTGATTTGTGGAAAAATCCTGCCAAGCCGGTGACTTTGGGAAAGCGCAAAGCCTAGTTGGCCAGCAACAGCTTCAACGACGACACCACCGTTCGGGCCAGAACTGTTCAAAGGGAGTGTCCGAGGTTTTAAGCTCACAAACGTGTAGACACAAAGCGCACCATCAAACTGTTAGGGCATGTTAAGCGAGTCAGGGTTAGCACATGAGCGAACTTGAAACAGGGAAACACGAAAGGTAGAGAGGTACCAGGAATATGTGAGAGGTGTATCAAATGTGTTGTGTGAAAGAAGGGACTGGTGTCGGAGAGGAGAGGTTGCTACAACGTGTGGTGTCGTGGAGGTTTGTCAACACTGGTGTGTGTGACAGCCGTGGTGTGTAAGAATTGCCCGGTGCTAAACTATGCCGCGCAAAGGTGGTCGTATGTCACGCCCCCGCTCCGAGCAAGTGACCAGGGTCGCGAGGTGAGGTTGCTTGGCATGTGGTGCGGTGAGGCCTGTCAACACGGCTTGCCTGTGTTGCGTCAAGGCTAGCTTGTGTAGAGGGCAATATGGTGTGCGAACGCCGGCTTTGCGAAAAAAATACAGCGTGTAAACGTTGGCATGTGTAAGAGCTGCACACACTGCGTCCAAGCCCTGTTGCGCAACCTCATTGTAAGAGCACTGCCGGCCAGTGCATGGACGTCACGCTATGGTAGGTGGGTGATGATAGTGGTGCTGCGCGGCGGGGGTCACCAAAAATGATTGGTTTATCATTCATTAATCACATTGGAGGGGCGGTCAATAGAATTTATATATCAATATTTGGTCTTGAGCAGGCTATTCAAGCTAACCCCTCTGCTTCGCAAAGCAAACTCAAGCTAGCCGTCACCAGCCCTACTCCGGCTCAAGCTGTTCAAGCTCTCAGTGCGAGTTCACGCTCACCTTCCAAACAGTGGAAGTTCACGCCTTTCATGGTTTCATTCATCTTGTCCTCGGTGGCAACTTCCCTTAGCATCGGGCAGCATTCGGCTGGCGCCTTCTTTCTTGAGGCGGAACTCCTTCTTCGCTGGTTGCTCTTGTACCCAGCGGTACTGAGTGTCAACGTGTTTGGCTCGTCCTAAACCTCGACGGTTTCGCATGGCTATGCCAGCGGAAGCGTCTCCATTGTCACCTCTTTGTTGGGAAAGATCCCCAATCCTTTGCAGTTGGTGCGACTCCGAGCAACTGACATGCTCCACTGCTTAAGGAGACAACTCCTTGGCCTTTGGTGAGACAGCAATTGTTGGCCATGAGCACGCTTCCTGACACACTCTTTTGTGTCCTTACGCATCCTGCACGGTCGGCGTCTGTCTGGCCACATGTTGACGGGGTTGCAGGCGCTCTGGTTTGGAAACAGCTGCGAAACTCTTGGTCGATACCTGACATGTCCCAATGCCTTGACGTTGGACTCTGTAGACCTTGTCACCAATGAGCGCATAGCAGTTTGCAGATCAGGTCGATCTTGTGCCAAATACGCTGCTCTCATGGCCATAGATCTATACATAGTTGCGTCTTAAACACTCAAAGGAACTTCTTCATGTTGTAGTTCCTCTTGACTTGGCTTGGCCAATGGTGTCTTGACCTTGCCTGGTGGACCAGCGCCTAACCACTTGATGAACAACTCTGCATGTCTTGGATCTGGTTCCCACCAAAAACCCTCGTTTCACCCAGCTGACCTGGTGACTGGCCTTTGGTGATCCAGGTGGGCCGAGAATGCCTCGTTCCACAACTTGCCACTCTTTGGCTGCAGAAGTGTGAAACCCTATGATGTCTTCAAAACTTCTTACTGTCCTGAAATTGTCTCCACGCACTTCTGCTCGAAGTTCCCTTGCTGGATCGTAGTAAATACACGAATTTGCATTATACCTTGCAAAGAACTAGCTTCTTCATGAGCTCCCAGTTCATGCACGGGTGGAGACGCCATGTGTGCATGGTGCACAGGTCATCTTTGACTTCGTTTGAATGAATCTCCTGGTAACACTAGACGACGAGTGGCCCGAAAGCATTCTTCATCACGTAGGAAGTCAGAGTGTGAGTTATCTGTTAAGTGTTCAGTGTGAAGTGTTAAGTCGAGTGAGTTGAGGCAGTGTGTGGGTCTCTGTGTGTGTGTGTATCTATGTCTGTGTGTGTATGAGTCTCTGTCTGTGTGTGTGTGTGTCCGAGTAAGTTGAGGCAGTGCGTGGGTCTCTCTCTGTGTGTGTGTGCGTCAACCTCTCAAGAAAGCCGGGTGGTCGGGAGACATGACTCAGCTGCAGGGGCGCCAGAGCAGCCGCGAGAGATGACTCAGCCGCGAGAGATGACTCATCCGCGTACTACAGTTGTACTACAAAGTCGCCAGTTCTCAGCTTCCAGCTCTACAGATTGCTCCGCGTGCTAAAGTTGTACTACAAAGTCGCCAGTTCTCATCTTCCAGCTCCCCAGATACTCCGCGTACTACAGTTGTACTACAAAGTCGCCAGTTCTCATCTTCCAGCTCCCCAGATACTCCGCGTACTAAAGTTGTACTACAAAGTCGCCAGTTCTCATCTTCCAGCTCTCCAGATACTCCGCGTACTACAGTTGTACTACAAAGTCGCCAGTTCTCAGCTTCCAGCTCCACAGATTGCTCCGCGCACTATAGTTGTACTACAAAATCGCCAGTTCTCATCTTCCAGCTCCCCAGATACTCCGCGTACCAAAGTTGTACAACAAAGTCGCCAGTTCTCAGGTTCCAGCTCCACAGATTGCTCCGCGTGCTAAAGTTGTACTAGAAAGTCGCCAGTTCTCATCTTCCAGCTCCCCTGAGACTCCGCGTGCTCAAGTTGTACCACAAAGTCGCCAGTTCTCAGCTTCCAGCTTCACAGATTGCTCCGCGTACTGTTGTACCTGCAAAGTCAGCTTCCAGCTCCACAGATTGCTCCGCGTACTAAAGTTGTACTACAAAGTCGCCAGTTCTCATCTTCCAGCTCCCCAGATGCTCCGCGTGCTGAAGTTGTGCTACAAAATCGCCAGTTCTCATCTTCCAGCTCCCCAGATACTCCGCACACCAAAGTTGCACTGCAAAGTCGCCAGTTCTCAGCTTCCAGCTCCACAGATTACTCCGCGCACTGAAGTTGCACTACAAAGTCGCCAGTTCTCATCTTCCAGCTCCCCAGATACTCCACGTACTAAAGTTGCACTGCAAAGTCGCCAGTTCTCATCTTCCAGCTCCCCAGATACTCCGCGTACTCAGCACTAGAATTTTTTTTTGCACGGGCAGGGCGCTGTGTGCGCCGAGAGGCACAAGTCACCGAGTCGAATTCGCATGAGGAGTGTGAGGAAATGAGCCTGACAAGTGTACTGAGTAGCACTAGAAAGTCGCCAGTGCCTTTTTTTTGCACGAGTGGAGGCGCTGTGTGTGCAGGTTTTGCACAAGTCACCTTAGTCGATTTAAGATCGAGTTACCAGCAAGGTTGCGAGGCAAAAAGGAACAACAAAAAAAACAACACCAACAAACACAAACCAACAAAACCAAACACAAAACCGCAAGGGCAACCTTTAAAGTAACTCGTAAGGCCATAAAGGCACGAGGATGGGTGAGACAGGGGCGATGAATTCCAAAGTGCACTCAGTAGTTCTTGTCCATCAACGAAATGCAAAGAAGATGCATGGGCGTGTGCACACGGCATGTAGAGCCAGGAAATGCTCACACGTCAGCGGGCATCACAGTGCCGCCGTTGGCACTTTGTAAGAAGGTAAGAAGGCCGGGCTTTGCAACATGGCGTGGTAAAACCACATCACGAAAACCTGATGCACCTTCCAGGGTGCGTTCGAGTGCATTGGTATGGTCCATAGAATTCAAAATTGGACACATTGAGTCTGGTAACATGCTCGACGGCTGGCAGCAATGAAGGCGGAACCTGGTAGGCAACTTAAGGGAAAACCACAGCCGTCACACCCGGTATTTCCACAAGACCGGGAATGAAGGGCAGTGAGAGGTGACCACCAGGATTCAAAAAGGGGGCGTCAAGAGGTATGCACCTCACATGCCTCCCCCCAAGGGCCAAGCTCAGCGAAGCGAGCTAAGCATGACGTGCTTCAAGGAGGGTAAACCAGATGACGCGTGCTGCAAAGACCTCGTTTAGTCATCTGATAGCTTCTGACTGCATCTGTCAAACGTGACTAACTATCCG